TAGGTTGCTAGATTTCTGGACCTAACTGGTGCTCAAAATTTTGCTGGCGAGCTTGAGGTTGCAAGATTTCTGGACCTATCTGGCGCTCAAAATTTTGCTGGTGAGCATGTTGCTGGCGAGCTTTCGGTTGCGAGATTTCTGAACCTAACCGGTGCTCAATATGTTGCTGGTGAGCTTTAGGTTGCAAGCTTCCTGGACCTAACTAGTGCTCAATGTCTCTCGGGTGAGCTGTAGGTTGCAAGATTTCTGAACCTAACTGGTGCTCAAAATTTTGCTGGCGAGCTCTAGGTTGCTAGATTTCTGGACCTAACTGGTGCTCAAAATTCCGCTGGTGAGTTTTAGGTTGCAAGATTCCTGGACCTAACTGGTGCTCAAAATTTGGCGGGTGAGCTTTAGGTTATAATTTTTTTGCACTTAGCTCAATTTGTTTCGGGTGAAGATTTCTGGACCTAACTGGTTCTCAAACTTTACGGGTGAGCTTTCGGTTTCAAGATTTCTTGGCCCAACTGGTGCTCACATGTTTCTGGGTGAGCTTTAGGTCGCAAGATTTCTGAACCTCGCTGGCGCTCAATTTCTTCGGGCGAAGTTTATAGGTTTGTTGAGCTAGCTGGTGCTCCAAATTTCTCGGGTGAACTTTAGCTTGGGTCGATATATAACCCTAAACCCCATGGCAAAAAATTGGGCAGCGTTTTGTTAGTAATGAAGATGTATCTAAAGATGTATCTGCAGCAAAAATGTGGCTCTTCTGGCCCGCAAACATTCACTTCTATAACTAATTATAACGTCTACAAGTATACTTATAAGTTCTACAACTAGAAACCGGCAACCAAGTACTGGCACTCTCACAGCGCCACCTGCAAACACCAGCTCAAGACAAGCGCACCTGACAGCTTTCGCTGTCAAGATCTCAGCGTGTGCTGAGGGCCTCCCGCCAGGTCGTTCACAGGTCTGCGAAGGCTGCCAAGCCATTGAAGTGAACATCAACTTGTATGGAACCGTCCGTCCTGTGCAGTTATGGAACAGTGCATGGCAAACCACAGGGTGAAGACTAAATAGCCAACCTTCCGTTGGCTAAACAACGGCGCTCTGTGTGGTCATGTTGCTCAACATGGCATGTGTAGCTTGGCCCTGCCAGCTTCACCTGATGTGCTCACGCTAGAATGTGGAGCAGGTGTGCGAAGTTCTTCTTCAACATTCTCTTCGAAGGCTTTCTCAGCGCGAAACTTGAAGCTCTCTCTCTCTCTCAACCAGCACTCTCACAGCGCCGCGTTGAGAAAACAAACTCTCTCTCAACCAGCACTCTCACAGCGCAGCATTAAAAAATAGAACCCTCTCTCAACCAGCAATCTCACAGCGCTGCATGAAAAAGCTCTCTCTCAACCAGCACTCTCACAGCGCTGCAACAAAAAACGCATTTTGCTCTGAATCTGTGCATGTGCCACGCAAAACCAAGGCCCGGGCGACCATGAGTCATGGCACGCGCCAGGGATCGGGGTGTTCTTTTGAAACTGTTCTGTAGATAAATGAGTTTTTGCAGACTCTTGACAGGGTCCGGAAGTGATTAGTGACCAGTGATGAGTGATGATCACTCACAGACTCATTGGGACCTCTTGATTCAAGACACTTTCTCAGCATCTTAGGATCTTGATGTAACAGGTGCACGACTTGTCACGGGAAATGGGAAACAATTAGAAATCAGTTCAGACACTGTCTCAGCGTCAGTTCAAACAATATCTCAACGTTGTGAAAACAAATGACACCACTATCTCAGCAGTGCCACTAGCTCTACAAAATCAGATTTGATAGGGAAGGTGCCATCTCAATTTTGACAGCAGGGTGGGCACGGTGTCTTTACCTTGATGATGGCATGCTTTCGGCAAATCTCGCTAGCGAGTTCTTCAAAAATGCCAACGGCCGGTAACTGGAAGAGTCTACTTGTAGCTTGGGGGGAAGGTTGCTCACATCTCATTCACCGTTTTGATACGACCCACAGTAACTTGTCGGTCCTTTTCCGGCGTCAATTTCCTGCGTCTTTTTCCTCCGCCCTTTTTCCTATTCCTTTTCCTTCTCTGTTTCCGTTCCCTTTTCCTTTTACTGTCCTTTTCCAATCCTCTTCGTGTCCTTTTCGCGTCCTTCCTGTCCCTGCGTCCTTTCCCTGCGTCCGGTGTCCTTTTCCTGCGCCCTTTTCCGGCGTCCTCTTCCGGTGTGTTTCGGCGTCCTTTTGGGAGCGTCCTTTTCCAGCGTCCTTTTCCCGCGTCCTTTTCCTACGTCCTTTTCCAGCGTCCTTTTCCGGTGTCCTTTTCCTGCGTGTCCTTTTCCGGCGTCCTCTTCCGGCGCCCCTTTTCTGGCGTGTTTCTGCTCCTGCTATATTGTTAACTCCTGTTTTTTCAGGGCAGGCGCTCGCCTCACACGCGCTGTTTACACGCTCGAGTCAAGCGCAGGGCTTCATGCATCCACTGCAACCTCAGGCTCATCAGGGTCTCCAGAAAGGTATACCGTCTCGAATCCCACACGCCCAAAGCAAGCATGCACCAGCTTGCGCGTAAAAGCCCACCCTCACATGACACACGCGCGCGCGCATCGCAGGCACGCGCAAAACCCGCGCTCGTACCAGACGTGCCAAATGCGCGCGATATGCCGCTCACGTCCAAGTGAGCACCTGCGCACGGTCCGTATGATGTATCGCGACAAGTGTTGCAAATGTGTGCACATATCGTTTGCGTAAGCGCGCGTGCCCTCAATAGTTAATTTGGAAGTGGCTGTGTGGCCTGCTTGAAACCTGTGCGCAGTAAAATATCTAAACTACATGGGAGACGCAGACGCATGCCCATTCACAATTTTGGAGGGGAGGAGCCGTGGTGAGACGTTAATCAGTTTGAATGCAGAACCTTTGAGAAAGGAGGCGTGGAACCTCCAGACACAAAAACAGAGCCTGTGGCCACATCACCAGGGTAAGGATTCAGGGTATATCTGTTCACATGGGTAAAGCCGCAAACAACTCCTCGATGAAAACGAAAAGGCTGCGATGTGATGGGACCAAAGCGGGGGCAACTCTCAGGTCATGTGCTTCACATTTCGGTTCCCCAGCAATTCCCTATGCTCGGCTGTGCTCTGGCGCATTGCCCGATATTGTAAGCATCGGCCTGATGAGAAAGGATTTGTGGACACCGGGAAAAAACTATCATTTGCCACGTGAGATATGTGTTCTGATTTTGCCACATGTTCCAAAATTGCTGCCTCACTCCTGGGTAGTATATAAACAAGCCCCTCTATTTGTTTTTTCAAACTCAACTAACAGTACGGCCCTGATCTCCACAATTGATTTTGTTAAATGATATTTTTCGATTGATGTACAATACTAATTCCTAATTTGAGTTGTTTAAGTGTAATGTCACAGTGTAAAAAGACAAAGTAGCAACTCATATAATCAGTTGTATTAATCAATTATCATTGCACTGGGTACAACCGACAGTATGAATTGTAATGCTCGTATATAATATTGTTCATTGTCATGTACAAAACTATTTGTGTGCGTGACAACTGATAGTATTATATATATATATATGTTAAGACTGCAACTCATATTGTCAAGGGGTCAAGTGTTTACAATGCACATGTGCATAAGACAGTTGATAAAGTACATTGCTTAGCCTTCTCATACCTTCAGTTGTATCTAGTGCAAGTGTGAGGATGAGAATTGGTGAATGCAACTCTCACATTGAAGTTGAAAACCTCAGTATATGAATGACAAATAAACAAACAGGCTCACTTGTGTTTATGACAGCTTACAATATTATATAGAATTGCTGCAACTCACAATGTGAGTTGTGAGTTAATACGTTGACACTAATATGTTAGGTTTGTACGCCTGACATGTTGAATTGAATATTATACAAACTGTGAATATTACAAAGCAACACGGCAATTGACACAAGTACTTGTACACATTACAACCAATATATTTTTGCGATCACCGCAAGTCTTACTATGACTTGTACCAACTGCAAGTTTCAATATGCGAGTTGATGAATGCAATCAAATATTATGAATTAACTGTCTTTCAACTGTGGAAATCACACAGTAACTTGACAATTGACAGGCTCACTGGTGTCCATGATATCTCACTAGCATTTCTTCCCCTTCTCTTCTCTTTCATTCCCTTTCCCTCCCATTTTCTTCTCAGAGAACAGAAGAGAAGAGAACGGAGGAGGAGAGAAGAAGAGAAAAAGCGTTGCAATCTCACAAACTAGTTTTTTGATTTATCTAAGTCACACAGAGTTATTTTCGCACTGACTGGCATATTGAGATTACTTCTGTCAAATTCACATATTAAGCTCAATCGTCACTGGCTAACATGTTGAGATTTCCTCTATCTAACTCACATATTGAATTGTCTTCTCTATAACTCTATAACTGCCATTTTGAGATTACTTCTATCTAAAGAGAATTTGGTGAGATTCAACTTCTATGCTTGACTGCGAAATTGCGGGCTTGGGAAAGATTGGTCTTAGGAAAGTCTTAAGACCTATCATGTTCTAAGATCTAAGATTCTCCCAAGACTTCTTGAGAAATCTTGGATCGTAGAACCTGATAGGTCTTAAGACCTACTCAAGACCTCTTGTTGCAAGTCTAACTATCCAAGGATCCAAGACATACGGTCCACGACATAATACCGGTGTATGCGTACATGCATGTATGTGTGTTAATATATATATATATATATGGATATATTCATGCATGTATGATACCACCCCCCAAAACAAACCAATGCTAGCAAACTAACAAAGGTAGATATTTGAGGGGGGGAGTACACACATATAAATCTATATGTATATATATATTACACATGAAATTAAACAGAACGGGTGTCCCTGAGAGTGCGGTTTATTGATTTGCAGATGTTTTTTCTGGAAATTTTGCCACAGATAGAGACATTTCAGATATGACCAGATGCTTTGAGTATTCATAAATACAAAAAATACAATTTTCCAGGGGTTTCGGAATCTTGGGTCTCCAAAAAACAAAAACATTTTTCCAGAGGTCTTTGAACTTGGGGCTTCTGCAGAAAGGGTTCTGAAATATTGTTGTTTTTGTTTCTATATTTCATTGTTTTTCACGGTTTTTTTGGTTCCTGTATCTGGCGGCCCAGCCGCATCTTTTTCTTTCGCAGATGTCGCCCTATTGGCAGTTTGCAGTTTGTTCGCTAGCAATCAATGTCGACCAAAAGTCTAGACACTGTTTGCCGGATGGATCGGTATCGCATATCCTATCTACTTGCAGTTTTTCTGATTGCACTTGTACGGCTTGGATGCTTTCCGCTTCTTGGTGATGATGGGCCGGACATAGTTGCACTTCTTCTGCTCAAGTGCCTGGTTGTGCTTGGTTGCCAAGAAGAGGAGGAGAAATTTGTGCCTATACACCCGCATCTCATTCAACATTGGCCCATAACCACGAAACCAGCTGAAAGTCTGTTCGCAGATACTCGTGTTGAGGTCCTTAATCCTGCGGTCCAATTTGCGAATGAAGCCTCAGAGCTGGCAAGAAAAACATCACTTATGTTGAATGTTGCTATTTTAATACGCGCAGAAAAAGCAGACAGGATTGTATCAAAGGCGTGGGGATTGCATTGACACTTTTTGCCATGTCGACGTGCATGAAAACGATCCACAATTAAGTACTTCACCTGTTCCAAGGCCGAGTCTTGCTTGGCTGCTGCATGGATGTGACACGCGCGGTCGTAGATGATGGTGTCCACCTGCGGATACAACCACAAGATGTCCTGGAAGGAGTTGATGGCTACCTCATTGCCTTCCGGCTCATGCATGACGTTGAGGGCAAGAATCCTCTGACTTTTGGGGTCACAAATGGCAAACCAACCACTTCCGCGCTTTCCGACTGTGGTGGCGTTCTTCCGAGGACGGCCAACCCTTTTGAGCGGTCCCACTTGGCATTTCACTTTGATTTGCCCATGTCCGTCACCGACCAAGGCCTGCACACTTCTTTTTACTTTGGTGGAAAAAGGCTCGAATGGCAGTAGGCGTGGTAGACGTCCAAGGCATGGTCACTCACCTCCTGGTCAATCTCAACGTCTTTGTGCAAAACAATTTTTTGCAGCTTGTGGAGAGACACGAAATAGAAAAGACCCACTCTTCATTCAGACTGATGTCACAGAACTGTTCCAGTTGTCCATCATTGGCGTTGACAAGGGTGAGTGGAAGATCACCTACTTCAACTTTTCCTCCATCACGCATGGTTTTGTATGGTTTTGGTTCTGGACCTATCAGTTTGTTGCCGGTGACCTGCAAAATTGCTTCATCAAGGGTGAGCGCACCATCCTTACATCATTTCAATGCACTCAACATAAAATATTTGTATTTAAATAGAATTACATATACACTAAAATATTTGTTTTAAAACATAAATATACATAAAAACACAAATTCTTATACATAAAGCTGGGTTGCTCTGGGAGCACCTAGTTCTCTTGCAAGGCCTAGCCCCCCTGCATGTGCCATGCTTGTTGTCCTACTTGCTATCAGATATCACTTGTCTCAGCCAAAACTTTGCCATGATACATATTAATAACACTACTTAAAATCATAGAACAGCGCACTCTGACAAACACCTGGACCCAAATTAAACGATGATGTTGACGACAATCACGAAGGCTGCAACCACGCCCACCATAAACCAGATTCAAAACGTGCCACCAAGCCACGGACGGATGTGGGCTCGTGGACGCAATGGAAATCGGCAACGCAACGAGGGTTTACCCTCGACGTGAGTGGATGATGAACACCCCTTATCCCCTCTTTAGGCATTGCTTTCCCATACATGTTTGGCAAAAGGGTTTAACTTGTTGTTCAGCAAGTGCTTTGATTTGATAATTATTGATCTGTAGACTCATCTAAGGGATGAATATTCACAGACCAGGAATCTGAGAGGATCATTGCTCTGAAAAGCATCTCGGCACTGAAAGGATTTTCTGACTGAAACTCAAAGCCCCAGTTTGTCTTGCACAACTTTGGTGCCTGAAACCGAGAAGCTGCGTGGGAAACAAACGGAAATGAAGCAACCAAGAATTTAGCAAGGTGTCCTTCAAACCTAATCAACTTGGCATGAGGCCATGAGAACAGTGTTTGTGTCCTTTCCCTTCAGTCTCACTCAGCACCAATTGTTCAAGCACCAGCTCGCGCTTAGTAAGTCTTAGTTTATACCATAGTTCTACAGTAGACGCAGTTGATGCTCTCTTCCTGCCGCCTCTAGCCGACCCTGTGGATACTATTGTAGTTGTGACAACACTGAAAAACAAACATCACCCATCACCGTTTTTTGGACTTAATCTACTGGAGCAACTGCGCAACGCGCCCACTCGTGCTGCCTTCTGTTTGATGAGGGCCACGGTATCTGTCACGCAAGGTTTGATGGAAGAGCTGTTGTAGGCCCCAATCCCTGTTCCTTAGCCGGCCAAACATCAGGATGCCAAGGATGCCAACCTTCCAAACTAAACCCTTTTCTTTTAGGTAAACAAAGGGGCCTTAGCTGCGGAAGATAAGAAACCTGCTTCCTGCCGAAGACAGACAAGTCCAGTTTTGAAGCAAGGTGTCAACCTATGGGTCCAGCTGTTGCTTTGTCCTTTGGGCCCTTTGTGCACTTCATCTTCTTCCCACTGCGTGCATGCTTGAACCGTTTGTCGTGGACATATGCTGTGTCTCCGCACCCACCAAGCAGCTAAAGATTTCCATCAACATTGCAACCTGAGGAAACTGGCTTCCCACAACACAGATGCAACATGCTTGACACAGGATCTTGCCAAAAAGATATTTGGTCAACCTAACTATCCACAGATGTAGAATGCCAATCTGAAAGATGAAGGGCATCTGTCAGGAACAAATCTTGGATTTGTGTGGGCGATGCACACAACATACAGTATTGGGATGGACAAACATTAGCCTAGCTTCCATGTTTGCATGAATGTGCATTCATTGACATCCAATACTTGTTGTGCCTGGCAACATCTGGCAACTGAGAACATGGCAGTTCGAAGCTTTGAAGCAGGCTTGAGCAAGATGACAACGAGGTATCACCTGAGTCATCGAGCCAAACTAACACCTCAAAGTGGGTTGGTTGTCCTTGTTGGACATAGGCAACATACTGTGGTATTTAACTGTGCTTCTGTTGTCTTATCTTAGCAAAGAATTCAGAGGAACTCAATAAAGCCATTGCTCCACCAAGGAACCATCAAGAGGCTGTTTGTAAGGCCAAACATCGGCTGAGAAATCTTCTTGGGCTCCCAGCAGGAACCGCCTACTCTGCCCAGCTGACAAAATTGATCCAAAATTCGGCAAGCGGTGAGTGTTGGATAGCTTCGCACGCTGGCCCCGCTTGGCAACACGAAGTGGGTGGAATATCTTGAATGGGGCACCACCCTGAATGGATGCAAGATTCTGCGCATGAAACAACAGATTCTGCGGTTTACCAGCTAGGAATAACATGCAGTTTCTCTAAGTACCGTGCGATGTTATATAGTTAATTTCTGCCACTACACACAAGAGTCATGCCACCTTTGCAAATCCTGCAAGCGTACAACAGGAGTGACAATATATGACAATATCAGTATCGAAATGTATCCACTACTTGGGAGCAAATCACAACCTCATACATCAACGATCCTTTCCACCGGTGATCAGGAGTTCATGATCTTACATCCTGGTTGGTATACAATGAAGGCGTCCGAGACTTGCCAGGAACTTCACCTCTTGGATTTCTGCACGAAAGGCAAAAGGTTGGACCACTATCAAACTCCTGTGCCAGGCGCTGTTGATCTCTTTCTCGTGCGTCTGAGTCAGCAAACGCATCACCTGGAATGTGCCGCCTCTGGACAGTGCAAAATGATGACAGCAAGGCTGTAAGCAAGACTGTGTTGCTCTTTTGGTAGTCTTGAGCTACTCTGACCAAAAACAACAAGCTGCTCGACCCTGATCGGCCTACCTGCGGCGAGCTCACGTAAAGACGACGTGTTCAATTCGTGACCAGAGTTTCACAGATCTTGGGGCGAACACAGAGTTGGCTCAGCAACCACCGTTGCACTTTGCAACGACCTTTGACGAATCCTGCGATATCTCCACCGAGTTCAAGGCTCAAACGGGAACACAATCACACCGATTGGTCTGTGCACATGACCGTCCGAGGCGGTGCTAAAACCGTGCAAATTCCAGACTGCACCTGAATGCTGAGAGATCAGTCTCTGCAGGTCATGCTTCTTGTAAATCTGTTGCTCTGGTCAAAGTCGTATTAAGTATCAAGTATCAAAACAAAGGGGCTATAGAAAGCAATACACAGCTCCTTGCTGGAGTCTCCGACATCTTCTGCTTGAAAAAGGTTGTATCAACATTAGTGTGCCCCCGGATTCAGTAACCCACCTAGAGTTGGTCTGAGTTTGCTCTGCAATACTAATTACCCACTTCCAAAAAGCCTTCTGGGCCATTGTCCACATTTGTCTGGTTCTTCTGATCTTCCCCCTAAACACATCCTTATCAAATGCGGTCCATCCCCGTGCTGAATACTGAAACCTCGTTGCCCATGAAGAGAGTCGGTCTCGGCCCAAGATTTTAGATGCTTGTTGCAAGGCCATCTGGATTTGTCAGGGGATGTCTTCAAATCGTTTCGGTGATGTGTTCTCCAAAAACTTCTAGACTTTCTGGGAGATGTTAATCTGTGGATTACACTTAAACCAAATATTGCCAGATATTGGTGGGGATGGTTTCATCACAAGGCTGCCCCAAATCTGACTCCGACTGCACATGCGTTGAGCCCACAGCCACCGCATAAGTTCTGGTCTGTTGGTATCACCTACTGTTTTCATCTACTGGTCGCCGATCCGATCTGGACCTGTTCGGCGATGCGTTCTGCGATGACTCAGCATTCGGCAGTGATTCTAGCCAGGGCTTGAAGCATCTTTGCAAACCAAGAAATAACACCCCCAAACCCAGTGATCGTTCTGAAGAGAAAGCAACAAACCACGAACGGGAGGAGATGCAATCAGAACTCGAGGTGTTGGTGAGAATCTCAATGGCTTGAACTGAGGGAATGGGTGGACTATGGCGCTCTCAATGTCGTTTTCTCCCCACTAATGATCTCCATCTTTCGATTGAACGCGAATTGGTGAGAAGCTTGATCCTTCCACTCAATGAAACACGGGACACCCCGGTTCATCTCGTGACGACGGAGTCGTCGGCCGGTTCGCCGGTTCGGCAAAGGCTGCTTCCTAGGCCTTTTGGCCAAAGAGGCGAAGAAAGCGAAAGGATTGGGGACTTGAGGACGTTAGCTCGACATCCCTCAATTCGTTCATCCTCAAGTCTCTGGAAGGGCCAGCAATGTGCAAAACGAGGTCCGTTCTGATCATTTTTTTTGCGGTTGCATCCAAAGAGATCAAAACTCTATAAGGAATTGCAGCACACTCTTCTGGCACCTGGCCCCGAGCCTCAAGGAATCTAAACTGCACCTTCAGTTCACAAACAATATACAACTTTGCCTGACTTAGAGATGTGAAGATGCTCTTCGCAATTTCTGCTGGGCATTGGACAGAGCTTGAAAGCATGCCACATACAAACACACTGGGTGCCTGTCGAATTTCAGGAACCCGCAAACGGTAAAACTGTCGACTTTACCCGTGACCTCAGCCCATGTGGTTGAAACACATGCTATTATATTGTAGCATGCTGAAGCATGGCGTTTGCTGTGCTTTCAAGGTCTCAACTACAGTGCGCGCTCAGCCGTTCAAGGCTCTGGTCATTTCATCTACCTAGAACATGTTGCATATCTGCACCTGCAAAAAAACGCCACACAAGCATCACTCAAGCTATGGCTGGAGAACATGGCAGTACTCAATCGATGACTAGTCTAGAGCTTGCCACTTAAAGCATAACTTTCACCCAACATCTTGCATGGCAGCACATTTGCATAATAAACATACCGTTGTTCAATGCAAGCAATTCTTCTTGGAATAGATGATAGGGATGATGACAAACCGTGAATCGAAGGAAAACGGACCAAACCGCCAAATCTCGAAAGAATCAACTATGCCTTTACCATTGTTCCAACTGCCAACCAAAAAGATCGAAACTTGGCTGCTTCCTTGCCAACCAGTCAGCTTCAAGTGTAAACCCAAGACAGTGCGCCTGAAATCATCAAAGTGACACTTCAGTAGTGACCCTAGGAGGCGGCTTCTGAAAGGTTGTTTCCAGCCAAAGGAGCTGAACATCGCTGAACACTGGTCACTTAGGCTTTATGCAGCGTCATCGCATGTCAGACCGGTGTGGCTTTCTGGGTATCTGCACTGCAAAGCCTAGATTCCTAGATGGATGCTCCAGGCCTGGAGATGCGGCTGGAGCCACCCACTTTGCTGTACGGCTGCCCAAAACGAACTGAACGAAATCCATAAGAAGCTCCGTTCGTAGCGTCCTTGTTCCTGGTAGTAAGGCCAGGAGCCCCGTTCGTAGCATCCTCTTGTTACTAGTATGTTGGAAACTCATGGTCTCAAAGTAGGGAACGCGCGAGGACCCCGGTGCTCCCGGTGAAAGCGGTCAGAAACATCCTTTAGTCGAGGGTCCGTCCTTTTGGAAACCAGCCAATAAAGCTTCACTATTCACTACTCCCTCAGCCAGGCTGGCATCCTTTGGAGTTCTGCATGGTGTTGTGTTGTGATTTGTTTCGGTTTGCGGGTGGTTTTTCTGGTCGAATCGTCTTACCACTTCTCTGGGTCGTAACTCGCAGCTACACGCAGCTTGGCACGTCTTTGCGCTTCCACCACTTTACCATGTCATTCCTTTTTTGGGACGGGATATTAGCACCTTCACCAATTGTTTCAAAATGCTTGTTCACAAAGGGGTCATTGCCAAAGCTTTGTCAGCACGCAGATTAGTTTGTTTTCTGTACAGCCAGGCATTGCGTCCCGGCCTTCACTAGTGGGTGGCCTCAATGCTGCACGCTGGTTTCAGAACACTCTGACCAGCGCAAAGAAAACACAGAACAGTTGTCCTTTACTTTGACGACACCACCGCTTGATGTACTTGAATCCGCAATCAGCTTTGCTTCTCGTTCGGCCCCGCCACGCCCTTAGTTTCTTGCTTTCCTGCATTTGTGTTTTCTCGCTGTAAATTGTTCCTGCATTGCATTGGGGACCAACCAAGTTGTGCCTCGGATTGCCTCGGTGTCAGACCATTGCAAAGAGGAAACACATGTCTTTGTGCTTCATGGTTCTGCAAGTTCTGCTGAGCTCTTTCCATGGACATGTGACAGCCACATATTCTATGGCCACTCCACCGAAATGTCACGATGATCAACAACAACAACAACAACAACAACAACAACAACAACAACAATAGTAGTGACATGTCTCTTTACAGGCCCTTTATCTGGCTTCATGCTCATGACGGAGTCACAATCTCAAACAATTGGCGCCCCCACTCGCCATCGTCAATGACCTTGCAGGACATCGCTCTGCGCAATAGAAGAAACATGGCTGAGTCACATGACATGTCATCAAGGAGTCCCACAATTTCTTGTGTTCTCGGAGTCGCCAGGCGTTCTCGGTGGGCGAAATGCTAATGAAGTTGTGAAAGACTCCAACAAATTTAACTTATCCTCCGGCGAAATGCAACTGTTTTCATTATCATGTTCCTTTTCTTCGATCCAACCACCCTTTCAAACCAAGTTGAGGCTTATGTTTTCAGCCACGGCTAAGTCCAATACTTGTAAGACTTACACGGAGGGACTTTCACAAAAAGCTGTGGAACACACGCATGTAGCTACTGTTGCCAAGTCTAGTTCATGGAAATCATCGGTCGCTTCCGCATCATCTTGAATGTTCCAACAGTGCGACCGCTGTCGGCGATATCACTGGGCAGCTTGGACGAGCAAATCAAAACGAATGGAGCAGATTCCGATATTCCGTAGTGGCCGAGCTCCAAGCCAAGCGTGGCAGGTTTTGGTCCTTCGAGTGTGGCCTTAGCCGCTTTAGGGCTTCAAGGCAAGTTGCAGCCTGAATCGCACAACTGAGTGATTAGACCTTTAGATCGCATCACGGTTTGAAGATAGGAGCGCCTGACCAATTCCTATAGAAACAATTTTCATGAAATTGGCATGATAGCAAGAACTACTAGACAACAACAAAAAACACATCCCCACCAATATTTGTCTCCTGCAGCCTTCACATGGATGTTTCTACCAGCAACCATGTAGTACATCACGGCTTGTTGCTACGCCGTCCTTTTGTCGATGCAGCTGACCATATCCATGTGTTACCATTAATTTGGACTCCACGACTCCATCTCACCAGTTCCCGCAGTCTTGGATGCCCTGCTGGTGCCTAGGCCTAGGTCAACGAACATGCAAGCCATTCCCGGCAATGTTCTTCTACTAAGCTTTAGCTGCTTTGGGAAAATAACCATGACTTTCATCATGTCAGAACAAGTCCCGGCAGCGTCTTGCAGCAAACAGCTGCCGCAAAAGACATACTGAAATAAATACGGTTTTCTACTACTGCTTGTTGCATTGGAGGCCACCGGTGGACTACGAGGCAGGTTTCTGTGCCTGGGAGTTTTGACTACAATTGGGCTGGCGCAACTCAGAGGCGTTTGTCCCTGTTGAGTGCCTTGTTACTAGTAGCTTCGTGTTACTAGTAGCGATGGCCACCACCGAGCATAGGGTTCGAACACTACTATCAGCTTGCGTATTGGACATTTCAGTTCAGCATTGCCCATTTCAGTTGACGCTCAGCTCCTTTCTCTTCGAAGCGATGCATTCACCAGCTTTGAACTGGCGTTCCTTCGAATTGGCGGCTAGACTCTGTACGGTTTCCAAGCCAAGTGCGATCTATCTATACAAGTGCATGTTTAAAGATGCTTTTGAGTCTTTCTGGGATCAAAGCCTGCTCGTACACACGAATCGACCCGTGCTCCGATCCCCAAGACGAAGTCTAAGAGCCAGAACCACCCAGGAAGTAGAGGAGGCCACATACCAAGAGTCTGAACTTTTGGGCTTCGTATCATGTCAAAGCTCGGATTCGATTCGATCCTCTCGAATCAAATTGCAAAAGGCTGAACGTCATGGGCCTTGTTTTGCCTCGGCTTTTATCCCCTTTCCGTTTGTTCGCTTGTGTGCGCCATCATGCGCTCGAGCCTCCTCCAGTTCCTGGGAGTCCTAGGATACGGTGCTAATTGAGGATTGTTTCCCACTTTCTCCGCTTCACGGCTGTTGAAGAAATTGACCTTAGGAAGTCGGGTCTTAGATCCTTGATCCCATGTGGGTGATCTTTTTAGGCTGATCATCCACATTTTAAACTTTCTTGGGTGGGGTGGACAACTGGCCTGGTGGGTCGTGCTTACCTTCAAATGGTTCCTTAATGCCTGGAAGGGCCAGGGTAGGGCCCAGGAATCTTCTTCGATACATACAGGGCTTCAAAACAAGAGTGGCTGAAGCCTCGAGTACTTCTGTGTTGAAGCATGTTGAAGCAACTCAGGCAACAGCAGCCTATCGCAGCGGTTGGGCTCGCGCATTGGCGGATGTGGGGCGCACTTGTTGTGCCCCAGGAATGTTTTGCAAGCAGTGCGCCACAGCATCAAAAAAAACAGTATATACGCAAATTGTTGTGAGATGTGGTCCAAAGTATTTCAGATCTTATTGCGGCAGCACGTGCTGGCGGAAAATTGTAAATCTTCAGTGCAAAGCGTAAAGCCACCGCCAGATCTTCCAACTCCTCAGCAGGATTCCCGTGTTTTCTCTCAAACCTGTCATCTAATCATATCAGGGCACCTATATAATTAGAACCAAACTGGACCTGAACCCGCTCTGCTTCAAGCATTGATGTACGTTCACCACCCTAACATCCATAGTGGGCTGCTTCTGGATTGCTGTAGACTCTACAGCTTGTGACCAAGTGGCAAACCGAGTCGCCGAATCAATGGCTCCTGGCTGTACACAAAGGCTCCAGGAGATGCTTTGCCTGACTCAAATGTGTCTCAAGCCTACTGGAAAACCCTGACCACATCTGACCACCCCAGAAAGTAGCGCACCCAAAGACAAATTCTGGAGGCCTAGCATCGTCCATTGAGTTTCGATTATATACATGCACCTTCAAATCTTGTAGAGAGAGCGATACACCCTAAGTACCTCCCAATAGCTTAAAAATGCTTAAATGTCTTTCTAGGCACAAAGCTTGCCACTTCACACGAGGGAAACAATTATATACCCCAAGCCACCCGGTTGGTCAGTGCTTCAAAGAACAAAGACTCGCTACTAGAAAAGCAAGGGCATCGCTACTAGTAACAACTGCATTAATTACTACATATTACTACTAGTAGCAAGAAGCTACTACTATAGGAAGCCCTTACTGCTAGTAGCGATGCACTGGTTCACCCGGTTGGTCAGTGCTCCAAGCTGCCAGTCATCGACGCTTGGCTGGCGCTGGACGCTTGATCTTGCGCGTAGCAGCGGGGAAGGGCTGCGGCTGGCCATCGGCAAAGATCATGGGCTTGTACTCCTCAGGTACACTCCTTGGTTGAAGCACAGAGATATACAGTAGCAGCACACTCACCACCTCGCAACCAATTGCAAACCGAAGCATCAGGACCAGTTCCACAAACAATACGATGCTCGATGACAAGAGTTTGCATCAACAATGTCTACTGCTTCTGGAGCAAACATTCGAGTGTGAGTCAGGTTCTGGATTGTATGCCAAACGGCCAAAGGTGGGGGGTGTGATCTTTTGGAGTTTCCGGAGCAGACTCCTAGACAGCAAAAGGCATCCAGGGAAAGAAACAACAGAGTTGCAGAAGGCTTTGCTGAAATCCTCAAGCACCATGAAGAACGAAATGAACACAAGAAGATTACGTTATTCATAAGAAAATGACCACATTACAAACCAAAGGACACACAAACGATGTTTACTACCCACCTGTGATATGCCCCCGCGATCCCTGAACCCGCCACATCCAAGCGGCTTATGCATCACCGGGCTGTTCCGGTAGCGTTCGATATGGGCCAAAAGGCCCTGATGAGGCCCACTGAAGCTCACCCGACCCACCTGCGACGGAGATTCGGATCTTCTTGTTACGTTCGCAGTAATTCTCCTAGTAGCGATACCAGGAGCCCCTAGTAGCTTCTTGTTACTAGCGCATATTTAAACTTAGCCAAAAATGGGCTTGAATGCCCCAAAACAGGCGCAGTACTGCCATTCCTGTGTCAAAACCGGATCGTCCACTGAACATGGCCGCATTGCCTCACCCTGCTCGCTTTTCGCTCTTTCCAAGAGGGGCAACCCTGCTGGAAGACTTCTGCACAAGAAATGGCACTCTGTCCAGACTAACAAAGCCACAAGGCTCCCGCTGCAGCCTCCACGTCATGCGCTACTTTGAAGTCTCACATTTGCAGGCCAACATGCCCACTTGCCACATTTCCAAAAATGGGCTCAGCTCCCAACACGCGGTCTTTGACCCCATGGTGTGACGTTGAAAAAAAGCTACATTCCTCACCTCACTTTGCTCACCTCTTCTTGCTCTGAGCCTTGATGAAGGTGTCCACAGTGGTACACATTTTCTTGAAGGCAGCATCTTTCAGCTGCTGCAAAGGTGCCAGCGCGCGCTTCACACGGTCCTGTGCTGCCGGCTTGAAAGCTGAAGGGTGAAGCTCCTTGCTGGCAAAGGACTTCTCCACTTCTTGGAGCGAGAGATAGTCCTTGTCTCCTCCATGTTCAGCTTTCTGTCGCACTTCCAAGAGAGGTCCACTGGTGTCTAAGAGCTGGCATGATACAACTAAACTCAGGAGGTCCATCAAGGGGTTCTCAGCCAGTTCTCCTTCTAAGCAGTAGCATTTCTTCATCTTGCTATTCCAAACACTTTCACCTTCTCCAAGAGTCAAGCCAATGGGAGACTTCAGAGATTTGCATGTTGCATCAATCTTCGGGATGCACACCTCCTTTCCATCAAAGTTATCCTGGAGGTACTTTTGGCCCAAAGAATGATGTTTCTCAAAGCTCGCATCCGAGTAGATTGTCAAGTCTTTCACCCCACGGCATAGTGCCAAGAGGTCAGCGACATGCATCAAGGTTGAGACCACCTGACCACTTTCGCTCAAGGTTTCTCCTGCAGGAAGATGAGCTCCAACCTCATCAAGGCCAATCATGGGCTCCTCGCCAGAGGAGCTCTGGCGTTTCTTCCGGCCAGCATCAATGACACTGATCCAGTACATGTTGGGATTTCGGAGAATCTCTTCGGACTGCAATTTCACCTCAACTTCCAGCTTCAAGACACTCGCCATTGTTTTCACCGCTTCGCCTAAGATGCCAAAGTAGGCAGCAATGACTTTGAGATCGCCCTTCATCCTGTCCAACGTGAAGCTGGACCAGTCTTCGCACCACAGCACCAAGCGCTTCTTCTGATCCTTCTTTGCTCGCACCAAGCCCTGTAGCACGCACAAGACCTCTTCCGCAGTGACCGCACCCCCTTCGGGCCGCGGTGCAAACACCACGCCTACGGAGGCCGAGGCAGAGCTCTCTGTGAAGACCTGCAAACTTCGAAGTGGCGCTGCTTTCACCGTGCCTGCGTCTTTTTCACGTTGGACCTCTGCCTTGTGTTGCTCCACCAGTGCGACTAATTCTCGAGCCTCTTTGTCTTCTGCGAAATGCTTCCGACATGCTGCCATGATCTGGTTCAGCCTTTCAATGCAAGCCTCCTTGAGCCCCTTCTCCGAGATCTTGCCCTCAATGAAGTCCCGCTCCAGGCTGTCCGCTTCATCGTAGGTGAGACCATCCACCTCAATGCTATGCCGACCCTTAGAGTTCTCCAAAATCAGGTAACGGACATAATCGATGACCGGATTGTTCAAAACCCATTCCTCTGCAACACTGTCATCACCCTGCAGTTCCTTCTGCTTGGCGGACTTCTTCTCCTTTTCTTTGGGGCAAGCGGCATTGGTGATCTTCCGGCGCACATCTTCAGGCGTGTCTTCCATGAAGACGGCCGAGTCTGGGTCGCTCTTGGACATCTTGGCCTGCCCGGCTTTCAGACCCATCAACATGTGGTGGGAAAGGATGATGGGCTTGTACTTGATCCCGACAGAGCCACAGTACTCACGTGCAAGCATGTTCACCTTGCGCTGGTCCACACCCAATTGGCAAATATTGGCTTGCAAGATAAAAATGTCAGTACATTGCATGAGGGGATACAAGATCTGTGCAGCAGTGAGGTTTCCTTCTTCTCTGCCCATGATGGTGCAACATCTCTTCACACGGCCCAAATTGTTGACTCTGCTGATGTCCAACATCTTGGTCCAATACTCGGTAGCATTCTCTTCGATGAAATCGGATGCCCAAATGAA